GACCATAAATGTTGAAGGTGAAACTTCCCATGAAGGCCTGCTTTGCCTTGTACAGGCAGAAAATGGGACCTCCTTACCACAAGCTTCTTGAGGCAGAGAATGGTTCTTACGGCTCTTATTTCCATAATACTGAGATGCTGCCTGGAAGGCAATTAATAAATACTTGTTGAATGATTGAATTAAATCATAAGTGCATAGTTACAAAGTTTCCCCCACAGCCCTTCTTGCATCTGAGTGTCCATATGAATAGGTGATTTTCATGTATGAAGTTTTTCATATATGAAGTTGTATGAGCTACAGCTTCCTACATTTACTCATCTAAACTGTGGTGTCTATAAAAATGGAAAGGACTGAAAATTGCAAGGAGGTGCCCTGAATTCTCCAAGAAAGGAAAATATCTCCACACCTATTGTCTCTGTGTTCTGGAGAACAAACTACTTGCATAAGCCGAGAGACATCAGCCTCATAATAGTGTGTTCTAAGAACCTGCCTTGTGCCGAGCACATTTTGTGTACACAGTAACCATGAATGGCATGGAAACTGAGGTACAATTGGCTTGCTCAAGGTTTAAAGAGGCAGGACAGGAATTCTAGCGAGATCTCCTTGACTCCAGGATTCATGCTTTTCCCACTACCACACAGTATTTTTCACCATATGTTAAAATATACAATTATATAATCAAGTATATCATGGTATAACAGCAGCCAATTTAAGTAGCATTTAACCATGATTACAAATCTCATACAATGTAATTCTTTACCTGCACTAACATGATTGCTTTCAGTTCTTTCTCCTTTCAGACAGTCAATGTTAAACAATTAAAAAACACTTTTAAAAATGTGGGGATGATAATAATAATATGCTACTAAAGAGTTCAGTGATGTGTTCAAATTAAATAGCAATTTATCAAAAAATTAATTCCCCACCAGATTTACAAGTGACCTACAAAACTTGTAAAGGCTTCCTAAGCATACGCAAATTAGCATAGCTGCTTTATTAGGCAGTAAGGTGCACTGTGCCGTCAGGCACACAAAGAGGTAGCACGCTGTAGGAGGCAACAGCATTCCTAAATGTTTAGCTCTGATCTGCATTTACATTTTCTGTGCTAGCACCTGTAAGTGAACTGTGCAGAGACTTAATGCAAATCGACACAATAATCATCAAAAATTTTTACTCTAGCAGTGCGGTGCTGGAGAATGCAAAAGATATACCATTACAGAAATAAAGACAGTGTAGTTGGCAGTCTGGAATAGTAAAGTTCTTGTGGAGACATTGCATTTGTAAAGTTCTTTCTGCTAATACTACATTCAGCACTTTCTAGAAAGGGTTACCTGACACTGTTCAATGTGAGAACTGTTTTTAAAGTATACGAAATGCTGCATTTCATTATGAATCTCAAACTAAATAGAAGACTTTAATATATACATTACAGAAAACTCTGCTTTCTGCTCCACACTCTTCTTCCCATAGAATTCACAGATCTCCACCCCTTCCCCCTGGTCTCCAGAAGCTAAGAAAAGGGTGGACTTTCCTGTCACCCAGCATTGGCTAGGAGCTGGGGGGAGGGGCGGGGAGAAGAAAGTGGGAACAAAGAGCCATGAATGACTCCCCACCCTTCTATTGACTTTCCCACTCTGGGGTTAAGGTTGTACTGCCTGCCATCAGTGCACCAAAATAATAACAGAGGAGTAATTGCTGACAGCTGCAGTGAACTTTGATTCTCAGCTCCCACACACCCTGCAGGCATCCTAACATGATGATAATCATAGTAATGGTACTGTCCTCTTACAGAATTGTACCCAACCCTTGGATAGTATTAAGAGTCTTCTATGGCTCTTTTGAGTCTTGAAAGGGTATAAAACAGCATGCAAATGATGCTTTTATTTGGATATATCCTCTGGTGAATTCTTGGTTTATGTGAATTTCTGCCATGTTTCAAAATGCCTTTAACAATGTCTTCTGTCTTTTCAGTCTTCGGAGATACTCTGACACCCAATACTGTAACTCCAACATCACAACAGATTTCTTTTTTTGAATCTACACTATACATCTTTTAACAAATACGGATGTGTAAACATCTAGAAATTACTAAACATAATTGCTCAAGAGACTGACTCCAAAAGAATTTTCTTTGCACTACTGAAAACTATGACATGGATTTACTTTATGACTATCCTTTTTTTTATGATTCTTGAATTTGATCAGCTTTAGTGGAGTGGAGACTATTTAAAAAATAATACTTTTAGAGTGGTTGGCTTTTGAGAAACTTTGAAAAATTGTTGTATTTAATATTTTTATTAGAATTTGTAAAATCTCTTTAATCATCAACAGAACCAGACCTTTAACATATCTACTTTCTCCTCCAAATAAATGATTTAAAGAAAGTTTTGTTACTTTATAAAAATAATTCATAAGCCTACTGTGATGTGTGCTTTAAGCATTTAGACAAAGTATTTATAGTATATCTTGACTATAAGTAAAGAAAAGTCTAACAGTTTCTATTTTTTATTTCAGTCACATCACTAAATTCAAATCATTTAGTCATGTGATTGCGGCAGTTAGCTTATATGGGTAGTTTCATAATATCTTAACTACTGTGTACTTTCTACTGGTAACAAATTTATTTGTTGTATGGTATCAACCAGCATAACCATTTCAAATTCAAAAACTGGAAAAAAAACATTGCATCAAACTAGTTCAATAAATAAATCACTGAGCACAAAAATTGGAAAATACATTACTTGATTTTAAAATCTGTTTTCTGTCTCTGCACTCTTTAAATTAATCATGTATTTCATATTAGTTTCCCATTACTATAAAATGTGTAAACTTTACTGATACCATAATGGCAGATGAACTAAAATAATTGACAGGAATTAAATATGTCTAAATTATTATTATATAAGGTCTTTTACACACATATGTATAAGATCAAGCATGCTACTTGATATGCATATACATATGTACATGTGTACATAAATATATATAAAGTCACAAATATCTATTCACTTTAAAAGTTGATGGCATCACTGACCCACTAAATACTAGAGATATATTTCTAATAGTGTTCCTTTTAAAATATTTCACACTATTTAACAGGCAACATTCCAAAAATACGTATATCATCTAATTTTTCACTGCGAATGTGTTCACATGAACATATTATGGAACTATAACAAAAATATGTCTATTACAATGTACCCTGGCATAAAAGAGGCACTGATAAATTTCTGTCATTGGTGCAAATTTCAAGCTCATCAAGGTGAAATAATAATACTGCAGCTAGTTATAAATTTTAATTTAGACTTACATGGTTGATCTCTTTGCTCTTTATATGATTTAAATATGGTTATTCTGAGATATATTAGTAACAGTATTAGATATCTACATGCACTTCATTTATCAGCCACAGTTTTTATAAAATTACCTCTTCACGTTAAAAAAAATGAATGTTTAAGAGAAGTACTATATAACTTAAAAAATAAATTCTTCTCCTTTTTAATACAACATTAATGAGGCATACCTAACATTATTACCTAGCTAAAAAAAAAATGTTTTTTAAAGCCCCATTACATTTCTGTTGAATATATATGTGAGTGTGTATGCTAATTGAATATAGGTATTCAGTTCTATTAGCCTTTCTGACAGTATCAAATGTACACATTCATTTTCATTTAACTGGAAAAACCAAAATGCTTTAGAGATAAGGCAGAAAGTAACAAGGACAATTTTTTTGTTGTCTAAGTTATGTTACCCTTTAAATCATATTGCACGAACCTGAGTAGAAATAAAAAGTTTCTAACTTTACAAATTGCAGCATGTAAATATTTCCATGAGGCAAATTTTCAAGACACTGGACAGCCATCAGTGAAAGCAGGTTTGTGCTTTCTTGGCTACACAGCTGGAAGAAGAGAATTTTAATACAAAAGACCTCTCCAGATAAAACCCAGCTTTTCAGCCAAAAGCATTTCCGTTCTCTTCCCCAAAATACCTAGTCAGCTCATTTCTAGATGTTATGAGTTCTTTCCTGACACAGAAAAATTACCATGTCTTCTTCATTCTTACTCTTATCCAAAGTCAAAGTACTGAAAATTCAACCTTTTTAATGCACAGATGATGAGTTAATATCTAAAAGCTTTTTAAAAGCTTAATAGAGAAAAAGAACCATCTCCATCCAGTTTATATAGATATTCAGAAAGACAGCACTAGGGATGATAAAACTTAGAATAAACAGAGTATTTCCAAAGTAGTGGAGTCAAACCTTCCAAATTTCTATTTATGCCTTTACTAATACATTGGAAATAATTCCACTGATAAAAGTAATCTAATCATTTACAGTAATACCAAATACTATTATCTCAATCAGTTAATATTTCAAAATCACTTTGGTGGTAAATGGAAATGACCCAAAACTCCACTATCCCAGCCCAAATTTCACTAACTTATATAATTGACCCCAACCCCAAATATTACAATAGAGCTACAATGCACATTTGAGAAAAATAAAGAGTTCCCACCAGGTTTTTGCAATAGAAGAAAGAAAATCAGATTTTTCCCCTATGGAAAACTACATGAACAAGATAACCATATTAAACTGAGAAATGGTAAAAGGTATTGTATAAATAATTCTAAACTCTCCATGTAACATATAATCAGAAGCTCAAAACAGTAATATTTCCTCATCAAAAATGTTCTTTAGCAGAAATGTATCATTTTTTGAAATGTCATACAAAATTAATCCCTTAATAATCATACAACTTTTTTCATATTTCACCAGGAGAGCAATGTATTAAAGCAAAAATACTCATTAGCACATTTGGAAACTTCAGGTAATTTATTCTTTTATCTCAATATCTAACAATTGATATAGATTAGATATATACTCTAGATAGACAAATACTCTAATAAGTTCCACATCAAGGTAAAACAGTATGTTTGGAAATTTAAGACGGCCAAATATTTCTTCCATGGCTCTTATTCGTGTTTTATTATTGTCTTACCTCAATGATTTTGTCATGAATCTCCAGGCCATCTGCTCTGTCAGCAGGTCCATTTTCCAAAATTTTTGAAACATAAATCCCTTCCTTTGATGTTTCTTCCTTATTATTCTATGTAAAAATATAACCATTATCAGTAAGAAAGATATAAACAAAATCTTAAGTTGGATAAAGGTCAATTTAGTAAATATAACATTGCCAAACCTCACTAAACATCCAATTCTCTCTCTTAGCTGGGGATTTGGCACTGAATTTTAACTTACTTAATACCAAATAGTCATTAATCAAGATGGCAGCTTTAATGAATGAGTCCAGCATCTCTGACAAGATTATCCATTTACTTCATGTTTTTGGGTATACATAAAAAGCTATGAGGAAAGGGTATGTACAAGGTGATATTGACTGGTTCCTAGGTATTATTCATAAAACATCTTACTTCTAGAGAGATATAGTAATTATAAAGGGCTACAGGAAAACAAAAAACATATCCAGTCTCACTATGTAACTGATTTGAGATGTGGTCATAGTTTTGAAAATTTAATTGAGCCTCGTGATGTGACAGATTTGGAAATACAGCTCATACCTTAGCTATTCACAGGGCAGACTAGGAGCTTGCTCAAGTGTGAAATCCCAAAAGATCAACTCTAACTGCAAGAGAACCCATTCAAAGCTAATCGTTACACATTTCCAGGGGCAATGAGCCTAATGATTAGTTAAATCTCAACCATATAACCAATATAATACAAACAGGACCTTTTAGCCAGTCACGAAAAAACAATTATATTGCAGAACTTCTCTAGGTAAAATGCCCAACATACTATAATAAGCATTTTAAACGTCAATTTACTTCATGGCAGTTTAAATAAAATTATTTCTCCTTAATTATTTCTCCTTAACATGAATTTGAAGAGCCTCTTAAAAAAGGCCAATGTCATTTAAATGTCACACACCTAACTTGCATTTTATAAGGATATTCCTTAGGGGAAGAAAAATGATATGATGAAAAGACTTCTATCTTTTCATAATAACGGGGGACTGTTCTAGAAACAGAAACACAGCAGTCATTCGTTGCTAATTTTTGAAATACTAAACAGTAAGAAGGAAATAGGTCATTGCCATCCTGACCTAAACATAGCATATGGCCAACAACTAAGGGAGTTTCCTTAGACAACATCTGTAATGCATGATGCAAAAATTTCATGGCAGTTTATTAAGAAAATTAAAGAACATGCATCTTTTTAAACATCACCACCTTTTTCTAGTTACAGTGAAAATTAAGTTAATGTAGTATTTGGAGGATATAAAAGAACTTTGCAACTACAATATCTGGTTTAAGTTTTTAAGTCACGTATTTTGAAAACCATTGGCATCAACATAGAAAATATTACTCATTCAGTTAAATAAAGGATACGATTTGGGGAGCCAAAAATATCTCGAATCAACTATCTTTCTTTAACATGATATTGCTTATATGCCTGTGAAAACAATGATCCCTTATTTCAACTTATTTTAACTGTTCATCTGTTTAACATGCATTATAAACTGCTTGGTCTGTGTTAGCATCTGAAAACTGAGCAGGTTGACTTAATAGAAGGCATAATCAGTCTCTCCAGTTGCCTCATATTTTCAAATATACATTGTCTATACACGTTATTATGAAATGCGTTTAAGAAGTTTACCAATGGGCTACACAATGTAAATAAAATGAGAACCCTACTGTGATTTTATTAAAAGTAGCAAAGAGGAACAAGTGTGTTACCTGTTGGGTTTTTTGTTTTGTTTTCTCAAAAAATATAGTTATGTACTGGAATATTTGCATTAAGGGATCTGATACATGATCATAACCACGATTTAGAAGATTAAATCACTTGTTTTCCTCATTCAAAATCCACAAGTGAAAGCTGTCTTTTATTATTTTATGAGCAAAGAGGGAGTTATGCATTAACAAGGTAGGTTACCTGATTTGGTCGACCTCCGATAATATTGAATCCCAATGTGTCATTTTCTCTTTCTAACATAATGGTGAGCGGCTTATGTTCTCCATCCTACAAGAAACGGGATGAAATAACTAGGTAAAAATAAATAAATAAATAAATACTACAACAAGCCTTTAAAAAATTGTAAATAAGTGACTATTTGAGAAGAAGAAAATCTTAAAATTAAGGATGGTTGAATTTGGGAGAAGGTTAATTTCTTCCTAAATGTACTTTGAAAGTATCTATTTTTAAAAAAGTGCTTGTGAGAAAAGTAGCTACTTTCAAAAAGATCTAAGGGACTTTGTCTTTTCACACATCAATCTATCTCTTATCCTAATGCAGCATCTAATTCTGACTTCACTGTAATTTAAAACAGATTTCTGGTGACCCTACAAGTATCCTCATTTTTTTAGAGTGTAATAAAGAATCTCAGAATAATTTTATGTAAAAATTTCAGTTTGGAAAGTCTTGAGGGATTTAAGTATTAGTGAGCAACTAATGATAATGATAATATGATAAAATTATTTTAACAGTGCTATCTGGATTTTATTGTATTGCAGGGTCTAAATTACAGTAATTCTGATTTTAAATAGCATTCTTAATTGGTTTTGCATAATTCCTGAAGAATTTTGAAGAGAGAATTTGTATTAAGTAAAATAGTATGTATTTCTTTTTCTGGAAGCCAAATAGTACTAAAACAAACGGGAATTATATCTACAACCTGTTTAAATACAGGGTGAGAAAGTGCCCAGATTAGGTAAGGTTTATTCATGGCTATGGGTACTATTAACTGTCCTACGAAATTACATATTTGGCAATTACTTCCAAAATGTAAAATTCCATAAGCACCATCACCACTGCTTCCCAGGAGCGTTTCAGAGGCAGTGCACACAGCAGCCCCTACCGGCAGTGGGAAAACATTTCTGAGACGCATACAGCAGATTTCTGATAGTCTGCAAATCATGGGCAGTTTTTCCTCACTTCTTAGAATCATAGCTCGACTTGTTGCATGGACTTCTCTGTCATATGATTCTAGTTGTGGCTCTATCGGCCATTGCTTCCCTACGACCTTGAAACATGACCTTATAACACAGAGCCCATTCCTGTGCTTCTCTCTGGATCTTCCCATTTTGTAAATTTACCTGGATATTAATAGGATACAGAAAGAAATCAGGGATAGCATCCAGTCTTTTGAGAACCAGTGTGCCTCGCTTTATCAGAGTGGCAACATTTTGCCCCCTAACACTTCAGTTATCTTTTTTAGGTTCGAGGGCAAAAGCTTCTCAACTCCATGCCTGGGTTGGAGGCAGTGCAAAGCAGTCCCAAATGGGAATGATCCCGTGTTGCTCCTCCCTGGGACGCTGCAGAATGAAAACAGCTCCTTGAATGGAGAGCAAGTCCTGCTAAATCCCTGCTCACCATGGCAGCGACCAACAATGTCAAACACTGCAGAAGTCCTCCAGAAGAGAAGTAACAGCTTTATAAACAAGCCTCTTCACACGGGGTGCTGCAAAGAGGCTTGTTTATTCAGTCTGAAAGCGGGCAGTCCCCCAGCACAGTTCGGGGCAGGCAGCTTCGACAAAGAAGGCAAACAGCCGCTGCCCACAGCTCACAAAGCTAGTCTGGCCGCAGATGGATGTGGCTGCTCTCAGATTTGGTCCCCCAAGCCACACACACACACACACACACACGCACACACACACTCCACTAATGATGAAATCCTCAGGAAGGCAAGGATTCTTTAGGGAAGGTCGGGGTAATGAAAACACTGTAGATCTAAGAAATCCCATCGCTCCATCTCCCAACTCGAGGTTTTCCTGGTTTCTCACATCCCCGAGAGTCCCTGCACTGAGTAGAAGCGATGCAGGCAGCTTGGCAGGGAAACGAAATCATTCAGGGCTAAAGGTGTGCAACTAACAAGGCCGCAGAGATGCTGCGGCACCAGGAGAGCGGAGGCAGGGTCTGAGAAGTGAGGACTTCCTGGCTTTCCTTTTCTGATTGGCTTTAGGAACTGGCCAGAGGTCTCCCCCAAAATGGCAGAGAAGGTAGGGCAGGAGAGTGAAAGATAAAGGAGACAGGGTCAGGGTGGGAAAACAAGTTTTCCTAATTCCTCCTTCTCTATGAAAAGTTGGAATTGAATCTGTTTAACTCGTTCCAATCCTAACAGAAGTGGAAGGGAGACATCCTCAAATGCAATACTAACATCCAAAAGGTACGAACAGTGGAGTACGGTCAGGGCGGGTGGATGCTTCCCACCGCGTGGTAAGTTAAGGATGTCACCTTCCAAAGGAATCCCAAGTACCGGAAAGCAGCGGTCCCCCGTCCACCCCAGTCGTGCCCCAGGTGCCCGACCCCTCTGCGCTTACCCGGCCGTGGCCGCCGCCCAGGTCTCCGGCGAAGTTGCGGACGTGAGCCATGTACTGGGCGAACTTCTCCCGGTACCTGCGGGCCGTGAGCTGCACCTCGCCCTGCAGCGCCCAGAGCTGCGCCAGCAGCGCCTTCTCGCGCCGCCTCCAGGCGAGGACTCGCGGCCGGGGCCCCCGCCCGCCGCCGCCGCCGCCGCCGCCGCGGACGCCCGGCGGCCCCCCGCGCGCGCCCCCGCCCCGGCCCGGCCCCGGCGCCGCGGCGCAGCCCCCCCGCGCGGGCACGTCCCCGCCGCCGCGGCCGCCGGGCCCCGAGACGCAGCCCCGCCGGCGGCGGCGGGCAGGGCCGAAGTCGCAGCGCTCCACGTGCGCAGCCAGCTCTTGCAGCGGGACCGCGCGGGCGCAGCCGCGGGCGCGGTAGTCGCACTGGACGCGCAGCTTCTGGACGAGGCTGCGCAGAGGCAGCACCCGGCACAGCTTGCCGGGCGCCAGGGGCTGGCACTGCAGCGGGCACCGGCGCCGCCGCACCACCCAGGGCAGGAGGCAGCTGGCGCAGAAGACGTGTCCGCACGGTGTGCAGAGGGGCTCCTCCAGCACCTGGCCGCACAGCTTGCACTCGAAATCCGGGTCCACCGCTTCGGCGAAGCGCTCCAGGGCAAAGCCCATGACCGGGAGGGGGAGCAGGGGGAGCGAGTCCCAGTCCACTTTCTCCAAGCCCCCTGTCTCCCCCGGCCTACCCCTGGGACGGCTTTCCCGTGGCGGTGGCCGTGGCTCCCCGGAGGGGAGGAGGAGAACAGGGGGGGTGGGGGGGGCGGGGGGTTGTGATCCCTGAGTTTGTTTGGCTTGAAGTTTTCAGGCTCTGCCACGGTCCCCTGACTCCGCCGTATTGACTCTAATAGACGCCACCTCAAGTGACACCCCACCCCTACCCCGCCGCGTTCAAGGCTCTGCAATTTATATTCTTTCACATTTTGTCCGCAGAGAGCTGAGGCCCGCTTACAATGGCCCTTGGGAAAGCTGTGCTTCCTTTGCCTGAACGGCGAACTTCAAGCAGTCCTCAGGCAGAGCTGATAATGAGCACAGCGCAGATGCTGAGGAACAACTTCTAATTCCACCAGAATGTAAACTCTCGGAGAGCCGGATTTTTGTCCATCGGTGTTCCGCTGGATTCTCATCGCCCCGCATCCAGTGGATCTTCAGTAATGTGTTTGAAATACATGCACTTCCGTTCTTTCATATCAGCCAACTACAAAATCACCAGCTAAGTAGCCGAGACCTTAGGAAAGCACTCTCAAGTGCCTACAGGAGCCAGGCTTCTCAAATCAGGATCCAGAAATAAGGTGAGTGTAGCGAGGCGGGGTGATGACTGACAGCGAAGATGGGGCAACGGCCAGGTGCTCGCCCTAAGACACCTCCCTCCTAGAACTTTCAGGGCCATTCAAGGCCTCCTACCGTGTGAGAAGGCCAGGATACTGTTACTCGGCAGCCTGACTCCGGGCTCAATCACCACACCATCCATCTTCTAATTCACAGGTATTTTACCACCGGGAATGGGAATGTGATCATTTGGGCACCTGGAAAGGAGAATTAAAGGAAAAGCATTATGAAGGAAAGCAGTGAAATAACAAATCATATCTTATTTACCCTGAGTATACAGTTTAGATTAACACTATGTATGTAGCAAGAGATCAAAGTCTGTATTCTGTCAGCCCTTTCCCCACCCCCCAAACCATGCGGTAAGGGGCTCCTCCAAGCCCTCCTCCCTCAGCTTCTTTCACCACCTTCTGAACATCAGGACTGCAAAGCAACCCATCGCCTGGATACAGACTACTCATTGCCATTATCCTGAAGCTACTTCCACATGCTAGGGATGGGCCTCCTAAATTAATCATTGATGATTCCTCACTGCCAGCTGAGTGTTGTTTCCTGAAAGCTGTGTACTTTTGTGTACCATCAAAGGTATCGTTGAAACACATGAAAAAAACTCCAGGTTTTGTGCTTTAAATCCTTGGTGCTAACTGAAGAATTAGCAAAGGCTAATCATGGAGGCTACTGAGAACCTTCTGAGCCTTCTTTCTGGTTGAAAGGTGAGATTTTATTAGAGCAGCTCAAGAATGAGTGAGGATCCCGGAGTGGCTTGCCAGGTGTTTGATAGGCTTTTAAACGTGTTTTAAAAATAAGAGGCTGTGTTTCACATTTTATACATGCAGATATAATAACATTTGCCACAATGCTCCAAATTTCTCCCTCCCCTCTGGCCTATCTTTTGCCAAGTAAATAAACACACAGTAAATTTCTGAATAAAAAAAGAAACAATTTAACATTAACACCATGAACATATTCTTGTAAATTGTATAGACCATGTGAAGCAGAATGTTACAGAATTTACTCAAACAATTCTAGGCAGGAAGAATCAGTTCCATCCTTTGTTAGTTATTGAAAAGGCTACGACTGATAGCTATGACTTTATAGCTATGGCTTGACATTTATTGTTTCACAATAAACATAATGGCAGTGAGAACATTTTACAAAGGGTAAAAAGATGGAATCTAAAAAAGTCCTATTGAGGTATTAAGAAAATGAGACTTGCAATTACCTGAAAAGAATGAAATAAACAGTATTATGATGTCCTTGGTCTACCCATGCAACTCTTGTAGCAAAAGTAAGGAACATGAACAGATTATGGTATGAGCAATTTCAGAATGTATAACATTTTGATTGTTAAAGAGAAGATGGATGTCAAAAACCCTGTCCACAGAGAATAATAAGTTCAAAAATTAGAACATGCAAAGTGAGGCCAAGTAATGAAGTAGGCCAGAAGGGAGCTTAGGAAAATCCTTTACACGAGGAACTGCAAACTTCAGCACTTTTAAAATAGCAAAGTACAAGGAAAACCATTACAGGAGTCAAACACTAAGGGAATGGTCACACCCAAGTGAACCTCATGGACTCTCCCCGTCTGAAAATGTTGTGCATGATAAATTTGTGATAGTGCTTGAGCCAAAGAGTATGATTACACTTCCCAGACTATAAAGGGGGTATTCTATATATTAGAAAATTGCGATATCTTGGAAAATTGTGATAGCTAGGTACATGGATTTAGGTAATTGGCTTAGATCAGAAAAAAAAAAAAGCACTTGGAATAAGTTTGAAATATGCCCAAATATTTCAGCAAAAACAGATCTAGTAACATTTACATGTCTTTTGGCAGATGAGACAAATTAGCACCCTGCATCATTAGCTTGGGCATATCCTTGTTTTCACTGATGATAGTTCCTTTTAAGAATCTCTGGTTAGTGAAAGTTGCAGGCTGAATAGCAATATGAGGAAAAGTTGGAAGCCAGACACTGTCATCCTTCTTGTTGGGCAAGACCAGCCTCTAGCTGTCCTGCAAGTTGGAGCCAGGCCAGGCCTGTTGCCTTTGATTCAGACTGGACCTGAGAATATGTGCCTACCAAGAGAGAAGGGAAAGACAATTAATAATCTTAGTTCATCTCCAAGCCAAGGACCATCGCAGAACTCAAAATGTCAATAAGTAGTCAGTATTTGATATTTTCAATGTAGGAACAAGTTTTTGCTTCAATCCACTGTTACATATTCATGAAAACAGATAAGAAATTAACTTGCTATTGGCTTGGGCCAATTCCTTGCAATAAGGAAATGAGAGTATGCCTCTGGGTGTTTCCAGGGAGAGGAGGCAAGGTTCCAACCTAGCTCTGAGCCATGCCTACTTCCAAGATGATAGGGAATCTGAAAGCTACTGCCTGTCAAATGCTAACAGATCTAACATTGAAATACTATATTCCAAGACTCAGAAATGATGATTGGAGAGGTTAAAAAGGAGAAAGAGATAATTTTTCCCACCCCATGCATAGATAATACTTTATAGAAACTCATTTGTAATTTATTCATGTTGTCTCTTGTCTTTGTAAGAATCATAGAATCAGGAAGAAAGTTGGGGAAATTTTGAAGAAATCCAAAGAAATTTTTGCATAATTTATTATTTCATACATGTTCATGTAGCATAAATTGGGGCTTTTTACCTGAGAATAATTTTTAAATCTTCTATTATAAGAACTTGAAATCTCATCATTTATATATTTTTTTCCCTGAATCCGGGTCATTTTTCATGAATTAGTATTATAACCTTAATCTTATGCATTTTTCCAAAGTGACCTAAATTTAAGCTATAAATTAGATTATAAGATTACTCTGGTAGAAGAGGCAAAAATGCCCAGCTAGTTCAGGTCAAAATAGTGTCAGTGGAATACATTTATCTGTTTAACTGAAGTTAACATTCATTTTTGTTCTTATCACAATATCCTTTGTGTCATAATGTAGGATCAGAACTGAAACTAGTAGCATAAATAAATTTGTTCATAAAGCATGAAATAATAACAAGATAAACTTGAGAATATTTAAAAATTCTGAAATTAAAAAAAATAATGTTTTTATTTCTTTTTCAAAGACAGAGCATGAGCAGGGGAGGGGCAGAGAGGAAGACACAGAATCCAAAGCAGGCTTTAGGCTCTGAGCTGTCAGCACAGTCCCATGCGGGTCTTGAACCTATGAACTGTTGAGATCATGATCTGAGCTGAAGATGGATGCTTAACTGACTGAGCCACCCAGCTGCTCCTAAAATTTCTGAAATTGATAAAGATCGTAAAAGATGCTAAGGTGACCCTTAAACAACAGAGGAGTTAGGGGCTCCAACCCCCACACAGCTGAAAGGCCACATGTAACTTTTGACCCCTCAATAACTTAATACTAATAGCCTACTGTTGACAGGAAACATTACCAACAACATAAACAGTCAATTAACACAGATTTATTTTATTTTTTTTAAATGTTTTTATTTATTTTTAGGAGAGAGAGAGACAGCGTGAGCAGGGGAGGGTCAGGGAGAGAGGGAGTCACAGACTGAAGCAGGCTCCAGGCTCCGAACTGGCAGTCAGCACAGAGCCCGACGCGGGGCTCGAACCCACGAACCGCGAGATCATGACCCAAGCGAAAGTCGGACGCTTAACCGACTAAGCCACCCAGGCGCCCCAACCTTTTATTTTATTTTATTTTTTTTAAATGTTTTTATTTATTTTTAGGAGAGAGAGAGACAGCGTGAGCAGGGGAGGGTCAGGGAGAGAGGGAGTCTCAATTAACACAGATTTAATATGTGGTATTCTTACAGTAAGTAAGCTAGAGGAAAGAAAATATTAAGAAAATCATAAAGAATGGAAAATACACTTACAGTCCTGTAAAAAGTCCACATATAAGTGGACCCATGCAATTCAAACCCATGTTGTTCAAGGGTCAACTGTATTTGAAAGCTTACTAAACCAAGATTTTTACAAGATAAACTGATAACATATTATGCCAGAGAAGGACCCTTTTGGTGATGAGTTTTACTCTTGGGAAAATACACAGTTAAACCCAGAGCAATGTCAATCCTTAATAATCCCTGTTTATTGGCATGTAATCCATTAGGAGTTATTTGCTATTATTTTGCTTTTCAATGATTTTCTGGCAAAATGAAGAGTTAGAAAGGTTATTATGACAATACCAAATGTCATTTTTAAGAAAAATACAAATATAACTTTTATGTACACCAAAATACACTAAGTGCTTTATAGTAATTATACAGTCTCTGTAGGAATGAATTATCAGACAAAGCACAAGGAAGACCTTGAAGAAAACCAAGTTAAGGTGAGAGAGTAAGTTAAAAGTTACGACAACTTCCAAATCACCTATGGACTGGTGTTCTAAAGTCCCTGAGACATTACTTAGGGTAACTTTATTATTCTGTTTGAGAGGCCTGTTGTGAGAGATGCTTTGTACAGGAAGTCATATTAAATCCTGTATTTCATTAAGCTTGATTTTGTGCTATATTTCTGTGGATCAGTCATTGACTGATATCAATCAGTGAAGGTATCAATAACAACCATAATAGATGATGTGTAATAGCTCTTCACTATGTGATAGGTAGAGCAGTATACTCTTTACACATACAATCTTACTCAACTCTCCAATGATTGTCTTGGGTAGATACTATTATTACCCCCACAATTTGCCCAAGTTTACACAAATTGAAAGTGGCAGAACCTGGAATGAAACCAAAATCTGTCTCATTAAAGAGCTCTCCTAAATACTATACTGTAAGAACTTGTTTTCCCCTTATCTACTACAGAATCAATTTAGGATAAAAAGTACTATCAAAGTTGATATGTGAATAGAAGCTATAAATTATGTTTATTTCAATTCTGTTGTGTAAAGGCTACCATTTTGTTGTCTGCTTTTCTCTAAGGAAAATTCTAGCCTCATATTCATCAGAAGTCTTTGAATAATTGATATAAATGAGAATATCGACCTTATGAATTATTCCTTGAAATGCTGATAGGGTTGTATTTTTAGATCATTTTGTCTATGTAACTGATATCAAATAGCTGAGTTTTCTGTATGATAGAACAATTGCCTCAATTTCTTGACTCCTGGCTTAATAAACCAATCACTATGCATTTTGGTTGAAACCTTATTTCCTGTTTACTTCAGTGAAGATTTTACATGATTTTACTATCTTCTGGATGTTTCTCAAAAATTCAAGAGATTTAAACAAAATTTTGCACACGGTAAGTTTGTTAAATCAACTTGTGGGTTGTGAAAGCCAACAAATTATTGGTCAAAATATCTGTAGTATGTTTTGAATCCTTTAGTAACCATTTATAATACAATAAATATGATCATATACTACAGCATAATATATGAAGCAAGTTTAAATTCCAAGCTTCCAAATTCAGGGTACCTTATTCTTTATCAGTCAGTGTAAAGTAAACCCCAGCATTACCACCAACTGATTATGTAGTCTTGACAAATTTAGTTAACTTTTCCTCACTAACTTTCTTATCATCTGTAAAATGAGAGTAACGATTAGTCCTACCTCACTGGGTTGTTGTGAGGTTGAGTTAATAAATATAGAACCTTGAAGCGTAGTTAGTAGTGTATGTTTTTGCCCTCATTATTGCACTCCAGAAATATTTTATCAATTATCGATAGAAAGCAGTGTGTGAGTACATGTTCCACCACACTGAATGTCCTCACTCCAAAATAAGAAAAAGAAATCTCATCATTTTCTTATTTTAATTTGCACTTCTTTGTTTACCAGTGGAATTGAATGTTTATTGACCACAGGTATTTCTTCCTAGGATTATTCTTCACATTTTTATCATAATATTAGAGATTTTTTGTAATATATGAGTCTATATATATTAAGAATTCTACTTTTTATCAGCCTGTATAATATTGTTAAATTCTGTTTATATTCATCTATCTTTGAAAGTTGAGGAAAGAAGAACATATGTTATTCTTTGTAAGAGGACTTTATAACATAGGTCATCAATTGTCACTGTCTTGTTGTGAGAAGAGCAGAAATGGGTCTTTGTTTTGTGTATATTCTACCATACCTATTTAATAAATATGTATTTCTTGTTATATGCCTAGAGAGAAGAATGTACCACTGAAAGCAACTTTGAACGTGAGCTAAGTAAGTTTTCTTCCTTCTGGAATTTTCTATCTGGATTATAGAAATCCCCAAGAGCAACCTCTCATCTATGTTGCAAATCTTGCTCACCAATTTTGTAGTATCATTTGCCTTTATTCGATATGTGTATTTTTTAAAATGGTTTTTAATGTTTTATTTACTTGAGAGAGAGAGAGACAGCATGAGCAGGGGAGGGTCAGAGGGAGAGGAAGATACAGAATCCGAAACAGCCTCCAGGCTCTGAGCTAGCTGTCAGCACAGAGCACAGCACGGGGCTTGAACCCATGAACCGTGAGATCATGACCTGAGTCGAAGTCAGACACTCAACCAACTGAGCCACCCAGGCACCTGTGATATGTGTATTTTTTGTGAACAATTCTCTACACAATGTTGTATTCACAATGTATTCAGCAAATGTTTCTTTAATGTTAAATAAATATGATAGTTTAAATTATGTGCAATTTTGGTTCATAGTTTAGTTAAGGTTATGATTAAAGTATTCATTTGCAGTGTCTTCCCACAACTGCACACCAAGGTTCTGATTGTAATAGAGAGGTTGATTAATTCCACCCGTGGACTTCTTGCCCACCTCCTAGCTCCATGTTGCTTGCTCCCATCAGATCCATAATCACCATCCATGTTATAAGCCCTTTGGATTCACTGTTTTCCCTCAATCTTTTCTGACTCAGTTAATTTCTTTAAAAAAAAAAAATTGATCATCCTTGCTTATCTTTTTAACCCTATTTTTAGCTGCTCTCACAGTGCCCTCCTGTATAATCCTCTTCTGTTTCCAAGAATCTTTCTCATACATTCAAACTTTCCTAGGAAAACGCTTTAGCATCTGTCATTCCAACTAAACCTGATTTTCCTGTGGCAACTAAATTCTCCCTCAAGAAACTCAGAAAAAAACAAAGTAGTTCACTCACCCAATCACTAAAATCTCAGAGCTAGAAAAAGGGATAACATTTAGTCATGATCTGCTTACAGACACATGAATATAATTATCAACAGCCCAACCCACCAAAAATTTAACTCATGCTGGTCTAAGCAATAGATTGGAGTCTATAGGTCATGATCTCACAGTTCATGAGTTCAAGCCCCACGTCAAGCTCTGCATTGACAGCTGTGCAACCTGCTTGGGATTCTCTGTCCTTCTCTCTCTCTCTCTCTCTCTCTCTGCCCTTCTCCATCTCTGTCTCTGCCTCTTTGTCTCTGTCTCTCTCTCAAAAAATAAATAAATAAAAATTTTAAAACTTTTATAAAAAGTAAGTTGGAGTCTAGAGCTGGGTTAGCCTTTGGTTCATCCAGTGGCTTCAGGATGCCCTGACTCAGGTTGTGCCCTTTTACGACCCTGGCTGGCTTCTAAGACTGGTTCTCCTCATGGCTGAAGGGTGAGTGCCAGTAACTTTCAGTGTTCTGTGCTTCCTTATATATGCTGAGTGGTCAAGGAAGTAGTTTTTCACAAAAAAGCAAGCATAGAGCTTCTCCAGAATCCATCTCCCCAACCTCCCCACTGCTCCCCTCCCCTGCCCAAAATTTTGAGTCTTATTATCTATGGTTGCCCGTTTGAGCATTCCAGAACTAGTCACCAGAAAAGGTCATGTCATTACACTGATTGACACAGACTGATGAGGACCCTGGAGCAGGAGATGTGTCAGCTTCCCCTGGGTGAACAGGGTTCTGACATAAATATCTGAACCTCTTTGGAAAAAGAACAGATTATAAATAACTGACTGCTTAGTGTGTTCCAGAAGCTGTCCTAAGCTTTAAATATATCAGTCATTTACAAGTCAAAACAACTCTAGAGGGTAGGTATCATTATTCTCATCATCTCTGTTTTACAAATAAGGAAACTGAGACCTAGAGAGTTTGAGTGACTTGCTCTAGGTTTTGGAGTTTGTAAATGGCAACACTGAGATTTATACTTGGACACCAGGATTAGAGGCTCTGTTCTTTCTTTTTTTTTTTTTTTTAAGTTTATTTATTTTGAGAAGGGGGGTGGTAAGAGAGACTGCACAAGTGTGAGCAGGGGAGAGGCTGGGGGCGGGTTAGCGAGACCATCTCAAGCAGACTCCTGACTGTCAGTGTAGAGCCCAAAACAGGGCTCCAACCAAGGATCCAGGAGATCATGACCTGAGCCAAAATCAATAGCCAGCCCCTAACTGATTGATCCACCAAGGTGCCCCTTACAGACTCTGTTCTTAACCACTAAACCAAACTAACTGTCTTTATGCTATCTACTATGCCATTTTTTTAAAAGTCCCTGGTGAAGATTAAGACTTTGTAATTAAAATAGTCCTTGAATTGAATCTTAGCTCCTTTATATATACCAGCTATGCAATTTTGTGGGAAATGATTTAACCTTTCAGAATATTAATTTCTGTACCTCTAAAAGGAACAGGGGCGCCTGGGCGGCTTAGTCGGTTGAGCCTCCGACTTTCGCTTAGGTCATGATCTCGTGTTCGTGGGTTCGAGCCCCGCGTCGGGCTCTGTGCTGACTGCCAGCTCAGAGCCTGGAGCCTGTTTCAGTCTGTGACTCCCTCTCTCTCTGACCCTCTCCTGCTCACGCTGTCTCTCTCTCTCCTAGAAATAAATAAAACATTTAAAAAAATAAAATAAAAGCAAAATACTGAATATTACACAATGATTGTATGAAGAATAATAAAATTGTGCTTATTTCTCTGACACACAGGAGGTATTTAATAAATGTCAGCTCTTTTAATTTTCTCTGGGGAAACTTAATTTATGTTAGAGGATTTGTAAATGTAAACTGTAACAGTAATAAATTTTTGGTTATTCTATAAATCATATTATACCATATATAATCCCTGTTAAAATGCTATGAAACATAATTCATGCAAAATGTTGTTCCTAAAATCTGACCCAAATCAATAAATGTAGATAAAACTATATGCTGAATGCATCATTTCTCAAAAATGCTGTTTTTCAGTTAATCTAAAAGAGCATTGTTTTTAGAAGAGCCTTAAACATTAGATTCCTTTTTGACTTTTCTCACTTATAAAATTCAACCTGCCCTTGAATGTTGGCGCATTACCAGATTTTCAAATTTATGTGCATCTTGCCAAAACACTAAGAAATACAAGCCAACAAATCTGGAGAACAATCTGGCAGCACTTATGCCCTGGAAAACCTCTCCTGGGAGCCCTTTTCACAAGTTGGTACTGCAGGTATGGTGCAGCTTTGTCTGGGGACCAGGGAGTTCTGGGAAACCTAGGTGATCGTCTCCAGGAGAGAAATGAAAAAGTGGGGTAGAAATAGTTTATGGGCTGGGCTGTCTGGGTAGCTCAGGCAGTTAAGCCTCTGACTCTTGGTTTCAGCCCAGGGCATGATCTTGTGGTTCCTGGGTTCAAGCCCCATGTCAAGCTCCGCTCTGAGAGTTCAAAGTCTGCTTAGGATACTCTCTCTCTGTCTCTCCCTCTCCCTCTCTCTCTCTCTCTGTCTCTCTCTGCCCCTTCTTTCTGTTATAAATAAATAAATAAATAAATAATACCTACATAAATACATACATAAATAAATACATAAATACAAAGCATTAAGAAAAAAAGAAGAAAAAGTAGTTTATGGACTATGCACTGGCCAAAAGCAATGATCTACATATACCTATAGCATACAGCTGAGTGCAAAGCCACATATTGAGTTAAAGAAATAACCATAAAAGGAGCACCTGGGTGGCTCAGTTGGTTAAGCCTCCGACTTGGGTTCAGGTCATGATCTCACAATTTGGGTTCAAGTCCCATTTTGAGCTCTCTGTGCTGACACCCCAGAGCCTGGAACCTGCTTCAGATTCTGTGTTGTCTTCTTCTCTCTCTGCCCCTCTTCAGCTTGTGCTCTGTCTCTCAAAAATAAATAAATGTCAAAAAAATAACCATAAGTATATCTATAGCAGAATACCACTTTTTATAAATTAAAACCAGATACATTCACAAAATAACTACACACATTTTTCAAGGATACACATATATCCAAAAACACTATATATTTCTAAAAAATGTTAAATGCACTAGAGCAGGTGACTAAGGAAGGAAAGAAATGGCAGTGGGAACTGGGAATAAAAACAAGAAAAACAAAAACAAGAAGGAGGAGGAGGACAAAAGAAAACCAAAGAAGGGAATTGCACAGATTAATGATGATGGTGTATCATGAACCAAAGATTATGATTAATTCAGTTCTATGATTCCAATGAAAACAGAAGTGAAGTATGAGAGAGAAGAAATTAAAGGAAGGGGAATACGGAGAGGGAAGAGGAGGGGAGGAGAAGAGATGGGAGGGGAGGAAAACGGAAAGAAAACACCACAGGGAGGCCTTACTTCATGCATATCCATTTAACAACTTCTCTTTTAATCTTTTCATAGTAGTTCTAATTCAATTTGCATGCCTGCATATCTCAAAGTGTATTTCCCAAAGATGACTGCATTAATTATACCTACTTACAGTAGATTCATATAATGACTATAGAGACATTTAGGTATTAAATTGATTGATTTAATCCATACTTAAATTAAAACCAGGAAAAGCAAATTGGCTCTCTACCTAACTTTGTCCTCTCTTAAGTCAGCTGAACATTTGCTATAAGAGGATTGTTTCTACAACTATTTATCAATCCTATTTTTCATAGCCAGAGAGAGCTCCTAAATAATAAAAGGTAGAGTGTGTTCATGTGTGCATACTTGTGGTGATGCACAAAAATTATATACATTATTTCTCTTTGTTAATTTTCCTATTATGGGTAGTATAGCTGAATAAAAGGCATCCATAAAGCATTAAGAGAAGATGAGAGAGAAAGACAGAACACAGACATACAGAACATCACTCTGGGCTGTGGAGGTATCCTAAGCTTCCAAGCTGAAGGGCAGAACCTGGAGAATTTGGGGGGAAGAGTGAAAGGAGATAGGATTGACAAGGTAGAGAATTGGCTTCCATACAGATACTGCAAGACTTCAGCCTGACCCAAGACTTTCTAAGTTATCTAGCCCTAGTATCCAGCACAGATATTGGGAAAGAATAGATTATAGTCATACCTGATTTAACTGTGCTTCACAGATAGTATGTTTTCTATTAATTGCAGGTTTGTGGCAATCCTGCATCGAGCAAGTTTATTGGTGCCATTTTTCCAACAG